CTAAGCACTGTTACCTCGGGTGACTAAGTCAGGTACTGCAGTACTTCTCTGTGTTGGTGCATCAGCTGTGACACCCACTGTTACAGTATATATATAGCTATTCTCGAAACAGTGCCAACTGATAACCTTCAAAGTGATAGTTGCATGAATACAGTACTAACACTACGTAAATGCCTGCATGTAATGCATAGTGGCTACAGTGGGCTTAGTTGAGTCAGGCTTGCATTGCAGTTGTGCAAGAAGCACATTGCACAGCTCGGTGACAGCAGGGTGAAATAGCACAGGCAATAGGCTAATTCATGTTCACTTTCAACATTTTGTTCTGAGTGCTGCATATAAAAGGCACATACCTGATGATTACGTCTGCTGCTGCAACCAATTCAGTGGTTGCGACACAAAGGAGCGATGGCTGTGGAGGATTAGAAGTGGTTGGTTGGACCTAATGGAGTCATGGTGGAGAGCATATCTGAGCCTTGTTTCCGCTCACCTACTTGGTGGTAGCACATATTATTGATGATATAAACTAGAAATTAGTGAAGTTGGAAATTCTGCACTGTATCTGAATAATTGATTAATTTCAATGCTGAATAAAAATAACCTGTCTTTAACAACTAGATGATCTGTGTGCAGATACAATTCATGTTTTTGTGTCACCCTTGTAACCTGTGTACTCAAGTGCTCAAAGTGCAGCCTGTGTAGTCTTACAATGAACCTGCGCAAATTGTTTTTGTACCTGCGTCTTTATGATCTAACGTGTGTGGTGTCCAACCTGCGCAATTAGAACCTGCGTCATGTTTAACCTGCGCTGATTTAGTAGTTTTGGGGACTTGATTTTTTGGACAAAATACCTTCCACAACCATGCCCCAACTCGCCTCCACCTACCGCGCTGCCTCCGAAGACGTCCCCACCCCCCAGTGGTTCCTCAACCACGATTTCCACCTCTCTTTCCTCCACCTACCCGGCAACGAAGTTGCCGGATACGGTGAGCCCTCCCCACGCCAATACGTTGGGTGGCTCCTTCTGCAACCCAACCCGGAATTGCACAACGTCTTGGAATGGCGATTCCGGGACGTCCCACCCACCCGTCATACCTGGGCCATCTACGGCGAGTCGGTCGTCACCCTCACCCACCTCCAGACCCTCGACTGGGACGTCGGCGAGCTCACCGACCCAACTGGCCAACAACGGGCCTACGACACCGTCTCCCAGCTGCAGGCCACAACGATCGCCATGTCCGACCACGCTTTAGATATCATTTGCGCCCCCCATCATCTCTTTTTCATTGCTGACCTCGTCAACCACATAGAGCAGGTTGACCGCGAACACGAGCGGACCTGGCTGGAGCGCGTCCTCGCCACCAACAACAGCCACGCCGCCTCCCCTATTCCCCCCACCCCGCCTCTGCCCGCCCCAGAATGGGGAAACCCGGCCGACATCTCCGGATGGGGTGACACCAACGTCGACTGGAGCAACACTAACTGGGGGAACGTCCCCATGGACGAGGCCGACATGGAGTGGTCCTCCCCTATACAACCTCCGCGCCGCTCCCCTCCACCTCGTGACTCCCCCTCCCCAACACCGCAGCACCTCCGCCCAATGCCCGCTCGCCTACGCTCCGGCGCGCCCCCTCCGACCGGTACGCACCCCTCTCCCCGCTCTCCCAGCCCCACCCCCCGCTCCTCAAGCCCCGTCGATGAAAACGAACCCCCGTTCGCCATAGTCGTCGACCCCGCGTCGCCCCTGGAGTGGCCAGCCTCGGCCGTCCGAACGGTCCTCAGCACCATCAGTGGAGGCGACCTCACCGACACCACCGACCCTGATGCCCTGTCCGCGTCCCCTGCCCCTCCAACTCCCCCGCTCCGCCAACGTACCCCCCACACCCCCCCCCATACCCCGCTCCTGCCCCGGGCCCCACCACCGTCCACTACCGGACGCCCCTCCTCGGCTACCCAGCATACGGAGGGGCCCTCCTCTACGATGAGCGACTCCCGGACGGCTGGCAAATCGGGCTGGAAGAACCCCATCACGTCGGCGGACACCCTTGGGAGTGGCGTATCTCAGGCCACCTCAACGGGACTGCTCTCCTCGAGGTCCAACTCCGGAGCTACGCCTGGGACGAGCAGTGGGAGCACATGCCTGGCGTCGACAACGCCTACCTCATCGGCGTCTTGGCCGACAACCTTCACCCCAGTGGACGGTTCACGGAGACTCAATACCTGGGATTCCTTCGGGCGATGATCCAGGCACGCGACCCCGCCACCCGCATCACCGACCACGACGTATGGAGAGAAGCGGCCGACAACCTCGTCGACGTGTACGACGTCCGCAACATCCCCGTCTCGGTCTGCCAGTACCGGAACGGACGTGCCGTACGCCTCTACGACAATATGTCGGGAAACGACCTCCATCGCAGCGTATGGGGGAACTTCTACGATGACGAGATCCTCGACGTCTCCAATTACGGTGACTCCCCTCCACCCACCCCTGCCACACCTGCCGCACCCATCGAGGAGGTCCTCCGTTCGCGCAGCCCCTCCCCCGTATCCCCGCCCGCTGTCGTCCACGACCTCCCCGCTGACGCCATCTCCACCCCTTTCCGTCCCAGGCGCCCCGCCCCCGCTAACCCTTCATCCCGTTCCCCATCGCCCCCCGCCGCCTCCCCAACCATCGCACCGTCGCCGTCCCGCTCCATCACCTTCCTCTCCGGGGCCTACTTCAACCCCATTGATCCTGGCTTGAACATCAGCCTCTGGTACCCGCCAGCGCCCTCGTCACCGCTCACGGAGCCGGACTTGGAGTTGAACGATCGGGACGATCGTGCTTAGAAACGGGGGTAATGTTACCGTTGGTATGCCCCACCCCCTATCTTTTTCTATGGGACTACTCCTTCTCGTCGCCCTCGTGTACACTCCACCCCCCTTTCTGTTCCCGGCGACCTATGTTTACCTTCCCGTTCCCCTGTCGTCCGCCTGTACACTACCACCCCCCATTCCGCCCCCTGACGACTGCATTCCTAGTCCCGGCCCTCTCCCTTAATATTTCCCCTTTCGTCTATATGACCGGACCCTGAGTCCGACCCTGACCCTTTCCCTTTTTGGTTACATTACTTTACCCTAACCCAGACCCCGACCCTTGTCGCGCCCCCTTCCCTTTTTGGTTACATTACCCGACCCTGACCTAGACTCAGGACCCTGTCCCGCCTCTATCCCCTTTCGGTTATATCACAGGACCCTGACCTAGGTCGTGTACTATATCGGGTCCAGCCTCGACCAGACGCGTTCCTTTACAGTCTCCTCATACCTCTCCACTTTGGTCGGTTACCTTTCCCTTCCTAATACGGTCGGTACCCCATAGTATATAAGGAGGCCCGTAGTCGGTAGAGGCTCCCCACTTCTGTTCTCCTCTTCGTTACCTCCTGTATCCCTATATCCCTCAATCTAGGGACTTGTGCGATACTCTCTCCCCCGTGTGCTACACCGCGTACTTGGATAAGTCCGCGTGATAAGTCTGGATAGACTTGTGTTAGTACTTCAGTGTAACAGTCTCGAGATATGGAGTCGCCTCACAAGGTTTGAGTCCAGTTGCCATCGAGCCCAGAGCGGCACCCTCAGCTGAACCATATATATGTCGTGCTGATTCTGTTTCCGGCTTGGGCGCATTGTGTACAATAAGTCCAGGTCAACGAGTTTATAAGCTCTCCCGACGTCACCATTCACTTGCTGGGCTGGTTTATCGGGCCCAACAAACCTAGCATGAGACAATCTTGTCGATCTCTCTGCGCCCGCTACCTGCATGTCTCTGCTCGCTGTGCTGCAGACGCTTGATCTGACCTTGAATGAAGCTAGGCAGGCGCCCAATAGGCGCGCGAGCAACTGAGCTTTATTATTATTATTATTATTTTCTTGTCTTATACCAAACATAGCTACAAAGTACGGTAGGTATGTAAGTAAGTGTCTTATCCGAGATTGTAACGAGCAACTGAGCGACCGACTGGTCTCGTACCCAGACGTATGGGTGTTACACCCGCACCCCACCACCGCGGTCACCCAGACGTCTGGGGCAGTTTGATAGAGAGGTCCTACCTCCCCCCTATTTCAAATTCCCGAGCCCGCATAGATGAGATAGCTTGCGCGCTTACATGTCCAGGCTCCGATTAGCGCCCGGGAGGATTGTGTCGCGGCGACTAGGCGCGTAGACTCGGGTCGACGTTCGGCGACGACCCCGTAGGCGAGCGGCGAGGAGCCGAAAGGGGAAAGAGAGAGGGAGAGGGATAAACGTGACAGAAAACTCGACGAGGGCAGAGCGGAGGTCGGCACGAAGGCACGAGACCTACGAAAGCTAGTCTTCACGCGGACAGCGACAGACTAGTCCCAATGACCAAGTTATACATTAGCACTCGAAGGGAAGTACAACGCTATGGTCACTCACCTAGTCCCAATGACCAAGAGGTCGAGATGGGGACTAGGGAGCGCCTAAGGGGGTCCTTATATACTAGAGGGGCTGCTTAGCAACCAAGGACAAGGCGCGAGAGCGAGGCAGTGAGGATGACAAAGAGAGAACAAAGGGCGAGAAAGAAAAGGCAAGGGCATGGCGATCACGGGAACGTAGCATGCGGCTGTGGGAACGTATCTACAGTGTCCAAACTGGGATGAGCTAGGAAAGGAAATGGTCCGAAAATGGA